CCCAAGGCTAAATTACGGCAGTTCTCTTGTATATTTACACGAATAAAGGATACAGCGCTACAAAACATACATGACAAGCGAGTGATAAATACGTTATTATGAGGACGTGTTCATCACACTGTACTTGAGGTATCGGTAACAATCATACACGAATTCTAAACGGAAACGAATTAAGCATTGTTCCTGTACTGATGATTTAAACGGTAGAGTACATGGACAATAATGCATGTCTTGAATAACACAGACGTGGGTTGAGGCTTAGAGGCCCATTAATTACACGCTTCAACAATAAAATGACTGGTTTACTCCCAAAAGTTAGACGTCCCAAAAGTCATACATCCCAATTGTCAGACTTTTCTTTCAAAACCGTTATCAGTTGGCGCACATTTCTTGAGAATAGGTGAGTAGCGAGATCTATGTGATGGACTATGTGGATAGGGTGGCTCACCTTCTGGGTGAATTGCAGTGAACTTTAAGTGTTGTACAAATTAAAGCGTTATAAAATTATATGTAATGTGCAAATCCTTGTTACTATTGTTACTGTATAAAAAATGTTACAATGTTACGACAATGAGCATGACTTTTATTATTATTATACATTTCTACTGTGTGATAATGAACTTGACTTGTGTAATACATCCCTCCAATGTTTCAACTTGAACTCTTCTATATCCATACCACCTAATTTTCATTACTGAACCAACCGTGACAAACATTCCCAGTACATGTGCCGTAGTTTCAGAGCCGCGCAAATGACGACCTTGAGGAAACAACGCTGGCAACCTTCCCGACTGGCGTTAACAATGACGTCGATGATGACGTCAACAATGACGTAGATGAATATCGAGAATATTACCTAGAAAGTGGCGGAGTGATCAAGCGGTGCAGGTTATCTTTGTGGGCAAGGATTATCAGGAAAAAGCCACTCTTCAAAGCTGTACTATATGCGGTGTTATTGACGGCATACCTCGTCTACTTCGGCTTCAGCATGTACCACTCCTTCGGCGACGAAGGATCAGTGAGGTTGATGCTGGGAACTATCTTCATTCTTCTTGTTATAGTTAAGGTTAACTTCGGGCCACAGATACGTCAATGTCTATGTGCACTCCCCAAGACTGGGCACAAGGGTCTTCAAGCGTACCCTCGCTTGCTAAAAGGTGTGAGATGGTAAGCCGTTCAAGTTCTGTTATTGAGACTTGACAAGAGGGTCATTAATATATTTTTATAGTGGGCTAAATGCAATGGTAAGCTTGTCTACATTCGGTTTGACATACGACGGACAGTGTCCGATCCTCTCTACATACAATGCTGCAGTGTATTGTCTTTCAGGCGAATGTGTCCGGTCTCAAGTAAAGTCTTTTTCTATTGTAAACATCCGCTAATGGCGTAAATGGCAGGCTGTTTAATGTCATACTTTTGATTCTCTTTCCCATATTTCGGAATCCCTAAACATAGAAATTACATAACAATTTATCAAAAACAAAATGTATCTTTCTGATTTCTTCTTCAGGCTGTTATACGTTGCCATGGTGATATTTGTTGCATCCTACATGGCAGTAAATATCGTCAGGTCCAGTCCAAGGAATCTCATATCACTAGGGGGCCTCGCCTTCTTCGTTGCTGTTGGCTTCCTCACCTCCAAACATCCTGATAGGGTAAGTGATTCTATTCAAACGACTCTTTGCCACCTGTGAGGATCGTTCAGCAAATGGTCTTCAGCAACTTAATCATGACTGTCGTATTGGCGATACAAACGGGTGGGAGCGGGATGCATCTATCAGCCTAGTCGTTAAACTGTTCGATCGTCATTTAAAAGGCTGGATTTAAAAGGCTGAATCTTTGTCTGAAGTGATACTCTCTGCTGTAAAACACATATATTTGTATGAGTAACTTACACGATAAACTGAGTTTCTATTTAGCAAGAGAGACGTATGACTTGACCGCGAGGCTGACGTTCATAAAAGTTTGAAAGCCAGATTTAGAGGTGTATGTATTTATTTATCAAGAGACTATTCTTCACATGGCATGAGAAACTACTGGGAGTGCTCCGGTACTATTATATCGAAAGTTGTGCTTCCGATTTTTTTAGACAGCATATCATGAATAAATAAATGATTAAATTAATGATAGTGCCAATCCTCGTGAACAAAGAAATGTGCCCCGAAACTACCAAATGATCTGTTTAGACTGGCATTCTTTCACAGTCAGTATCTATTCGAGACATACATGCATCATGCTCGAACGAGCTGAAAGTTGGTAAATGATGAATGAGACCAACAGTTTATAGGAAATCTTAGGCCGAAGTTCATGTCGGCCATTTGGATGACCTATTGTTTTTTGTTCGATGATGTATTACAGAACACATTCTGCCTATATATGAATTAACACTAGTATTATCTGATGCTCACACACAACACGAACGCCGAAACCTGTTCATCATCCATTGGGCCTGTTTATTAACGTTCGTATTCCAAAATATGGATTACAATATTCGTTATTTTATGAAATGATGACAAGGACAGACGACATGTGTCCTTACCGTTGATAACATGCTGTTTTCAGGCGATGCCACTGGTGATCACAATGAGTGCTACAGTGAATGCGTTGTACCACTACGGGATTCTCCAGTCATTAGTGGCCAACTTTGGATGGTTCCTCACCTTCTCTCTAGGCACGAGTCCTATTGAGTCCGTGAACGCTGCATTCAACATCTTTCTTGGTCCCGTAAGTTCCGATGTCTTTAGTTTATTGTAAAATATAAAAAGAATCATTCTCGAGTTAAATTAAACCAATGACATGATATTGTTTCCTGGGTCGGTGCATCCGTTTGCACAGGGATTGTATTCATGGGAAATATGCAGCTCAAGATGTTTATGAGGCGCTAGGAAGTCAAACATTTATCTTATTCCATCCTGCCTAAGCATGAACATCAACTGCCACCCAAGCATATGTGGCATACTGATAAGAGTATTCAGATGACGTTTGACGTATCCTTGCTTGTGTGTTTGATTGTGAAACCGTTTGAGCAGGATACATCTATCTATTCCAGCACATCTGTGTCATCACTTATTGACAGTAAAAAACACACGCTTATAATACAGCTTTGCAGAGACGTTTCATGACTATTTTTTTATATTTTTTTATTATAGGATATTTATATAGCGCACATATCCACGCACTAGTGCATGCTCAAGGCGCTTGTATTTTTTCCCTCGATCATTGGATGTCAATCTCAACGGCACATCGCATTATCAATCTCAACTCCCTGGGGAGTATTCAACTCTTGCAGCCACTAGGCACACTGAGATATTGTGGTTTTCTCATCCTAACGAGGTACTCCGACTACGCGAAGTGTTGGATCGCATTTGTTTACTGTCCAGATCTGACGCGATGGATATATGTTTGTTTGTCGCACTTTGCAGCCAGAAGCACCACTACCCGTGAAACCATTCCTGAACATCATGACGTCATCTGAGATGCATGCTATCATGGCTGCGGGGTTTGCTAGCATTGCTGGCAGTGTGTTCGGGATGCTGACCAGCTTTGGTGTAAGTATAACTGTGTTTGACAGTATACACACTACTTCCATTGTCACCCAAATACAATCTTTGTTTTGGTCCTTACTATTGTCGTAGAGTAGATCATTTAAATAGGTTTCTTTGAAATGTCATATATTCAGACGATGTTATTGTTTCAATATGTATCCAACGTACACCGAAATTATACCTCCTTTGTCTGTTTATTGTATTCAGCAAATATTCGGTGTATCACCTCTTATCATAAACCCACTCCGGACAGGACCCTTAATTCTCAATGCTATCAGTAAATGTCAATGAACACCTTACGTCTGCGGATCTTACGTATGTACATGTACATGTGTATAGGTCAGTGACCTTGCACAACGTGGTGTAATGCCCCTACGCATAAAACCTGACTGACAGGACCAGTCGGAGAGACGAGTCCGAGAAACGGTCTCCAGTCAAGGAAACGGGCCCAGATCATCGACAGAAGCGGACCGATTGAGCGGCTAGTCGTGGCGCCGGCCAAGGCCGTCGACTCACCAACGACTACGTCGACGATGAAGAATCACCGTCCGACTTCTGAATGTGTGTAAGTGACAGAGCGGGTCTCTGTATCGGGAACATTGGTCACTCGGTCCCGGTGTGCGCTCATCACGTGTTTCCCATCAACTTGTACCATGTCGACCATTATTCTCCGACTACAATAAACATGGCTGCAGGCGTCTTCAATTCTACCGCTGTCTTTTGTCTTCCCTCTTTTGTCCATCAACCTGAGCTATCATCCAACGAACGATCGTGGTCAGTATTGCAAAAGGCGTGGCCCTAATACATTGTCAACCGTAGAAGTAGTTCACATATTTCTTTCTAAGAGGGTTATATGTCAGACCAGTGCTACGGTGTTTCACGCTGACCCTCTTATTCGTTTGTCTTTAGGCTCCAGCTAATCACCTTCTTGCTGCCTCCATCATGTCGGCTCCTGCTGCTCTGGCTATGGCCAAACTGATGGTTCCTGAGACGCGCTGGACCAAGATTAAACCCCACGATGCCTACACTATCAACACACGGTAAAGGTTCGATGCGCGTAGAAAACCTAGTATACCCACATTGCATGCGATATATCAGTCAAACTGTCACATACGGAAAGAAAGTACATTTCAAGACTCAACAATACACCTTTAGGAAGAGAGTAAATTGCAAACTGTAAGGTTTGGCACAATAGCATCTTTACATAGGAGCATCTAATACTTTCTTGGACAAACGTATAGAATCAATAATGTGATGAAAACGTATTTGTTGGGCAACATTCACGAACTTTTCCTGACTGCATAGTCCTATTTCGAACAATCGAAAATAATATTAGCTGATTTGTAGCATATTTATATTCCAGCAAGTTCCGAAACGTGCTGGAGGCGTTGTCAGTGGGAGCTGTTGATGGCATCCAGCTTGTGGCCACCATCGTGGTCAACCAGATCATCTTCATCGCCGCCATAGGGTTCATTGATACAGCCTTGATGTGGTTTGGAGCCAGGGTTGGTTTCCAGGGCGTCTCATTTACGGTAGGAGCTCTTTGGTTGTCGTCACGTTTCCGATGCATTCTCACCTGTGTAATACACTACGGCGTAAATACACCATCGCGCGGTGGGCGAACTGGCTAAAGCGCCAGGCTAGTGATCCAGCGAGCTTGAGGTGACGGGATCGAGCCCACCTGTGACCGGGTGTAAAAACCTTGGAGTCAACTTTGTGTGCAGACTCTTTCAGTGTTGTCACAACCCCTAGTGTACAGTACACAACTCTGTGCACTTAAAATAACCCACGAATCCGTTGGTATATGACCAGACGGTGGCCACATGAATACCTGCAAACACCCAATTGCGGGTACAGCAACATGCAGTAAACTTGGACAAAGTACTGTGACTATGTGTCCCAATCCACTCAGCTGTGAATGGGTACCTCGTAATGATGGGAAAGCAACATTAACTTGGTGCGCCTAGTGGCTACACAAGTTGTATGATCCCCAGGGAGTTGAGATTGATAATACGATTTGGCGTTGAGATTGACATCCAGTGGACGAGGGAAAAACAAAGCGCCTTTGAGCAGCTGAGCTGAGCTGGATATCGGCGGTATGTATGTATGTATGTATGTTTCAGCTTCTATGTTCATACCTCTTCTACCCACTCACCTACCTGATGGGTTTCTCGAGTTCGGATCTGTTCAAGATGGGGGAACTCCTGGGGATCAAGATATTCGCAAATTCATTTGTGGGATTTCGTGAGTTTGGTAAACTGGTGCTGAACCGTGTGGATCTGGAGGAGTATGTGACGTCATCAAACGGAAGCTGGCACTGGGAGGGAGCTGACATCATTCTGGATTCGACCAATAAAACTCTGCATGGAGGAATTCTCACAGTGAGTATATCTTGAGAAACAGAACACTACGGAGGAGTAGCGACAGTGAGTATAGCTCGACCAACAGAAGCCTGTTTGGAGGAATTCTGACGTGTATATCTTGAGAAACAGAACACTACGGAGGAGTAGCGACAATGAGTATAGCTCGACCAACAGAACTCTGTATGGAGGAATTCTCACAGTGAGTATATCTTGAGAAACAGAACACTACGGAGGAGTAGCGACAGTGAGTATAGCTCGACCAACAGAACTCTGTATGGAGGAATTCTCACAGTGAGTATATCTTGAGAAACAGAACACTACGGAGGAGTAGCGACAGTGAGTATAGCTCGACCAACAGAACTCTGTATGGAGGAATTCTGACATTGAGTATATCTTGACCAACAGAACTCTGTATGGAGGAATTCTCACAGTGAGTATATCTCGAGAAACAGAACACTACGGAGGAGTAGCGACAGTGAGTATGGCTCGACCAACAGAACTCTGTATGGAGGAATTCTCACAGTGAGTATATCTTGAGAAACAGAGCACTGTTTGGAGGAGTAGCGACAGTGAGTATATGTCGACCAACAGAACTCTGTTTGGAGGAATTCTCACAGTGAGTATATCTTGAGAAACAGAACACTGTATTGAGGAGTAGTTACAGTGAGTATATCTCGACCAACAGAACTCTGTATGGAGGAATTCTCACAGTGAGTATATCTCGAGAAACAGAACACTACGGAGGAGTAGCGACAGTGAGTATAGCTCGACCAAGAGAACTCTGTATGGAGGAATTCTGACATTGAGTATATCTTGACCAACAGAACTCTGTATGGAGGAATTCTCACAGTGAGTATATCTTGAGAAACAGAACACTATGGAGGAGTAGCGACAGTGAGTATGGCTCGACCAACAGAACTCTGTATGGAGGAATTCTCACAGTGAGTATATCTTGAGAAACAGAGCACTGTATGGAGGAGTAGCGACAGTGAGTATATGTCGACCAACAGAAGCCTGTTTGGAGGAATTCTCGAAGTGAGTATATCTTGAGAAACAGAACACTGTATTGAGGAGTAGTTACAGTGAGTATATCTCGACCAACAGAACTCTGTATGGAGGCATTCTCACAGTGAGTATATCTTGAGAAACAGAACAATACGGAGGAGTAGCGACAGTGAGTATAGCTCGACCAACAGAACTCTGTATGGAGGAATTCTCACAGTGAGTATATCTCGAGAAACAGAACACTACGGAGGAGTAGCGACAGTGAGTATGGCTCGACCAACAGAACTCTGTTTGGAGGAATTCTCACAGTGAGTATATCTTGAGAAACAGAGCACTGTATGGAGGAGTAGCGACAGTGAGTATATGTCGACCAACAGAAGCCTGTTTGGAGGAATTCTCACAGTGAGTATATCTTGAGAAACAGAACACTGTATTGAGGAGTAGTTACAGTGAGTATATCTCGACCAACAGAACTCTGTATGGAGGAATTCTCACAGTGAGTATATCTCGAGAAACAGAACAATACGGAGGAGTAGCGACAGTGAGTATAGCTCGACCAACAGAACTCTGTATGGAGGAATTCTCACAGTGAGTATATCTCGAGAAACAGAACACTACGGAGGAGTAGCGACAGTGAGTATGGCTCGACCAACAGAACTCTGTATGGAGGAATTCTCACAGTGAGTATATCTTGAGAAACAGAGCACTGTATGGAGGAGTAGCGACAGTGAGTAAACACCAACAGAAGCCTGTTTGGAGGGTGAGTATATCTTGAGAAACAGAACACTGTGAGGAGTATTACAGTGAGTCGACCAACAGAACTCTGTATAGAGGAATTCTCACAGTGAGTATATCTCGAGAAACAGAACAATACGGAGGAGTAGCGACAGTGAGTATAGCTCGACCAACAGAACTCTGTATGGAGGAATTCTCACAGTGAGTATATCTCGAGAAACAGAACACTACGGAGGAGTAGCGACAGTGAGTATGGCTCGACCAACAGAACTCTGTATGGAGGAATTCTCACAGTGAGTATATCTTGAGAAACAGAGCACTGTATGGAGGAGTAGCGACAGTGAGTATATGTCGACCAACAGAACCCTGTTTGGAGGATTTCTCACAGTTAGTATATCCCGACCAACAGAAACCTCTAAGGAATGAGGAATGACAGTGAGTATATCGTGACCAACAGAACTCTGTATGAAGGAATTCTCACAGTGAGTATATGTTGACCAACAGAACTCTGTATGGAGGAATACTGACGATGAGGGCATCTCGACCATCAGAACCCTCTATGGAATGAGGAATGAAAGGGGGTATATCTCGACCAACAGAACTCTGTATGAAGGAATTCTCACAGTGAGTATATCTCGACCAACAGACACCTTATGGAATGAGTAATGACGGTGGGTATATCTCGACCGACAAATCTCTGTATGGTGAGGTGAGGTGAAACTGGGTTTAACGTTGTGCTTGAGAATATTTCGCTCATATGACGACGTGCATGTGTGTGTGTGTGTGTGTGTGTATGTGCGGCTGCTTGTACTAGCCCAGACTTAAGCTGGTTTTATAGTGCTAGCCCACTGAGATACCATGCCGCAGTGAAGCATGAATACCCCACTCAGACACATTATACTGACCCCGAGCCGACCAGTCCTTGTTGTACCCATAAATGCCGAGCGCAAGGCAGGGAGCAACAAGTACCATATTTTAACGTCTTTTGGTATGACGCGGTCGGGGATCGAACCGGCGACCTTCCGCTCTCCGGGCGGACGCTCTAACCACTACACCACGGAGGCGGTATCTCTGTATGGAGGAATACTGACATTTAGTATATCTCGACTAACAGAACCCTCTATGGAATGAGTAATGACAGTGAGTGTATATCCACCGACAGAGCTCTGTATGGAGGAATTATCACAGTGAGTATGTCTTGACCAACAGAACCTTGTATGGAGGGATTGTCACAGTGAGTATGTGTTGACCAACATAACTTTGCACTGAAGAATACTGACAGTGAGTATATCTTGGCGAACACTGCCCCATTCCAGGGGGCTACTCATACACCGATTGCCATACAGACGAAAGATGCTTTCAGTCCACACATTCCATGGTCTCGTTCTATTTCAGAAGCGTTCAGAGGTTATTGGCACCTATGCCTTGTGTGGTCTGAACCATCTCGGTGCTGTTGGCGTCACTATGGGCATCCTCAATACTCTGGCTCCAAGCAGGAAGGATGTCATCAGCAAGTATGTCGTCAGAGCGAATATTGCTGGACAGATGGCCTGCTTCATGACAGCGTGCATTGCAGGTGAGACAGGGGATAATTATGACGATTTTAATGTTTTCTAATATAGAAATATAAACCCGTAATAGACGGAGATGTCAGTTTCAGCATCGAAAATTTCGACGTTGCGTGTTCTATGTCTTCAAGAAACTATTATTTCAACACCTGTCATAACACGTGACACGTGAAGATCAAGTTTTTCCATTGGTGCCAGTCATGACTTGTGGATCAACTTACTCATTACCCGTGAGGATCCGGGTTAGAATTGGTCTTCAGTAACCATGCTTGTCGTAGGAAGCGACTAACATGATCGGGCCCGTGAAAATCCGGGGTAGAATAGGTCTTCAGCAGCCCATGCTTGCCACAAAAGGCGACTATGCTTGTCGTAAGAAACGACTAACGGGATCGGGTGGTCAGGCTCGCTGACTTGGTTGACCCATGTCGTCGGTTCCCAATTGCGAAGATCGAAGCTCATGCTGTTGATCACTGGATTGTCTGGTACAGACTCGATTATTTACAGACCGCCACCATATAGCTGGAATATTGCTGAGTGCGGCGTAAAACTAAACTCACTCACTCACTCACTAACATGATCGGGTGGTCAGGCTCGTTCACCTGGTTGGCGCATGTCATCGTATCCCGATTGAGAGATCGATACACATACTATTGATTACTGGATTGTCTGGTCCATACTCGTCATACTACGAGTGCAGCGTTATACAACAATCAAGTTGCTCGCACCCATATACACAAGTACACTCGATTAGCACCTTATCAATTACGCACTGCAACACATATTTGTCGTGACGTGAGCCCTCTGCCCTGTGGAATGCAATGTGTACACTCAATCCCATCTGAAGATCAACAGCTGACGGTTCCAGAGTTCCATTGTGTAATATTTGGTGATATGCTGGTCCAGTATACTGACCCAGTGTTATGTAACTGTCTTCTTTCAGGAATCAGAAAACAAACATAAACGTTCACACTGAAACATATTCTTTAACGACTTGTCTCTTCAAATAATTATTTATATGTACTATGTTGTTCTGGGAACTCGTATGCAAATTCATCATCCGATTGAATTTAATGATTTATTAAATCATGCTAGAATTATCCGGGTTGGAACTGTTCTTTAGCAACACATGCTTGTCGTAAGAGGCTACTAACAAGATCGGGTGGTCAGGCTCGCTGACTTGGTTGACACATGTCATCGTATCCCAATTGCGTAGATCGATGCTGATGCTGTTGATCACTGGATTGTCTGGCCCAGACTAGATTGTTTTCAGACCGCCGCCATATAGCTGGAATATTGCCGGGTGCGGCGTAAACCTAAACTCACTCACTCACTCGTATCCCAATTGGTAGCTCGATGCCCATGATGTGAATCACTGGCTTGTCTTGTCCAGACCCGATTGTATACAGCCCGTCATCATATATAGTATGACCAGAAATTATGGAGAATTTTAGGAATATGTTTAATTGGATTTCTAGTATAAACAACCGTGACCAGCTATCAAGTGCTTGGTTTCATTCAAGAGAGACAACTCCGTTAATCCTTTTTCATTCGTTTGTGAAGAGTTATCCCCCTTTGTTTACTTGCTAGCAGACGACATTTTCAGTGATCCTCAGTATGGATGATTTAGAGAAGAGGAAGTTGATTTTAGAGTATTATAACAATGACATCAGATCAGCTAAAGTGATTTCAAGTAGAACAGGCATCCCTTTGTCCACTGTTTATCGTGTTTTGAAAAATATTGCAAATGGATATGGCATTGAGCACCAAGGAGGCGAAGGCAGGCCCAGAAATTTGACTGTCGGTGACAAGAGGCGGCTTGGTATTCTTGTTTCTAAAAACAAACGAAGGAGTTTAGAACACTTAAGGCTGGATATGATTGATAGAGGAACTCTGGCTGTCTGTAAGGAGACAATTAGAACTGAGCTGAATGCAATGGGTTGGCAGAAACGTCGAGGAATTCCTTCACCGATCATGAAACCTGAACAAAAGGAGCGAAGATTGAACTGGTGGTTACAGCATAAAAAATTTAACTGGGACAATGTGATTTTCTCAGAGGAAAGTTCTGTGTGTCTGTTTCCTAAAACACTGAAATTCTGGACCAAACAAAACTGAAAGCCTTTCTACAGTCCGAAATTTTACGTGTGGGGTGGCATATCTGTGTTAGGGGCAACGCCCCTCTGTGTATTTGAAGGGAATATGAACAGTGAGCGGTACACAGATATTCTCGAGGGACATTTACTTCCATCTGCTCACGTGTTCTATGAAACTTTTGTATTTTCCAGCAGGACAACGACCCAAAACATCGTTCAAAGCATTCATAGGCCTGGTTTTGGACCCAAAATATGACATTATTAGATTGGCCAAGCTATAGCCCTGACCTAAATCCAATAGGAAATGTTTGGGGACTTATGAAGGAAAGTTTCAATCAGACAAATCTGACAAATATTGCTGAAATGAAAGAAGAGGTGGTCCGATATTGTGACAGCATGGACCACGACTTTCTAACTGCTTTGATCAATAGTATGCCCCGCCGCATTGAAGCCTGCATTGCTGCCCATGGTGACTTGACAAAATACTAACTGTTCACCTGTCTTTGAATCTGGAGTTTTGTTCTGCTAATATTCACATTTAATACGTGAGTAATGAGTGAAAAAAAAAAATTACAATCTTTAAATTCTCAATCATTTCTGGTTGTACTGTACGTGGTGCATTGCTGAGTGCTGCATTAAACAGCAAACAAATTTACAATTCAATAACTGTATATGTGTTGTCTTTCAGTGGCATTTAGAAGTTGTACATAGATGTCCAAGATATTTTTATGGATTAAACCTCTTTTTTACTTCTCTCACGAGGTTTCGGGACCATTCCTGGTCCCTTCATCAGGTTCATCTCGGGCAGGTTGACCTGATGAAGGGGCCTGGAATGGTCCCGAAACGTCGTGAGGGAAATAAAAAAATATGTTTTACCCATAAAAATATCTTGGACATGTATATTTGTTGGTGATTCATTGAAGCAAACGTAAAATGCAGCGTACTCATCTGCAAGTACACATTGTTCTGCATGCATTGTTGCAGGACTCCTGTTATAACAGTACCCCTCAATGCAGCTTCCGTAATAAATAATTTTGATTTTAACTTGTCGCTAGAGAGATGAGAGCCATCATTATTTTCATCAAGATTCCCGATTCAGAACATACCGAACTAACAACCCACTATATCTTACATTATTCTCATACCCGTGAAGATCCAGGTTAGAATTAATCTTCAGTAACCCATGCTTGTCGTAAGAGGGGACTAGCGGGATCGGGTGGTCAGGCTTGCTGACTTGGTTGACATATGTCATCGTAGATCGATGCTCATGCTGTTGATTACTAGATGGTCTGGTCCAGACTCGATTTGTGGTTTCGCAAATTGTGTACATCGTTTTTTATGTTTAGACACATTTAAAAGCAGAAACAAATTTAATCCAATTCTTACAAATACATTCACATCATTTATTTTACGGACTGCATATTCAATCATAACCATAAAACGCTGTAGATGTTAAGATCAGCCAATCAGAACATGGTATTTCGTTAGCGGGCGTGGCCTAAGTGCTTCCGACTTACTTGCATTGTATTTCATACAATACATACTGGTAAATGAGTGACAATATGACAAGTAAATACCAAAGAAATTGCGATTGGTAAACATTGTAGGTTTGCCTCACCTCACCTGGTCTGTATCTTCCAGGGATGCTGTTCAATCAGGACAGTGGATAGCAGTAAGATACCATCAAGGACGATTACAAGAGAAAGTGACCCGTGAAGGTCCCGGTTAGAACGAACCTTTAGTAACCCATGCTTGTCGTAAGAGCGGCTTACGGGATCGGGTGGTCAGGCTCGCTGGCTTGGTTGACACATGTCATCGGTTCCCAATTGCGCAGATCGATGCTCATGCTGTTGATCACTGAATTGTCTGTTCAGACTCGATTATTTACAGACCGCCGCCATATAGCTGGAATATTGCTGAGTGCGGCGTAAAACTAAACTCACTCACTACAACAGAAAGTTCATTGTGTTTAGTGCTGCTGTCAACAAGAATCAACCCGCATCACGGAGGGCTGGTAATACACAAGTCCAGACCAGACAAACCAGTGATTACTGTAGAAGACAATACATAACCACCTTCTTGTTCGTAGTCTTTATTTCAATATTTCATCTTGAAAGACTTTCACCATATCTTCCACCAATTCCATTTGATAGATATTTGACAGAAATGACAGGCGAGGTATTTTGACCGGTATTTTGAGTTGAGTTGACCGGACACGGTTGAAGCTGTCAAAGAAAAGAAATAGCTCAATAAGTGACAAAATATTCTGAAACATATTCTATGTACTTATAAATTTGAAAGGATGTAATACCAACGCTTACTTATGTTTAAATTCAACCTTTAACTTGCCAAGTTGAAAGCCATGTGCTTTTAATCATGATATTTTCCGGATTTTAAGGTATTTCTTTTATAAATTAAAGAGAGAAAAAACTTCACAATTAATTACAAACATTCACCTCAACATTTGAATTTACATTCATTAAACAACTGGTGCAAGTGCTTATTACTTACAAACCTTTGGGCAACATTATGTCTACACAGCTTGTTCAAGTTGTTGGAAACACCACAGCGCCAACCTAGCTTTTCTGCCCCCATGTTGTGTTTCCCCCGTCACTCACTTCCGGTTCGGATTATTAACCGGACCATAAAAAACAAAACCTCTAAATTAGAATGTTAAAGAAGCGCTCGTAATAGGTAAATGCAAATGAGCTTGCAGTTGGCTCAAAAGAGTTAAAGGGAATTATTTCTCTACAATTGCATTGAGCAACGGTACGATTACAAAACAAACGTCAATGACCCGATCTACCAAAATGATGAGTCGACAATTATACCACAAGCATTGATGACGGAACTTATGCAAGTAACTCTCGGTCAAATTGTATAGGAAACTGTGTATAAGCTTTATTAGTCTATCGATCAATTGTTTGATTGGAGACCGAGCAAAACAACACTAAAACAAATACACAAAACTCAATGTCTAACTGTATATTGATTTGGTTATGGACATTTACAGCATATTCTTGCTTTCTCTCAAATGCCTTTCTCTCTTTATTCGGCGAGCCGTCTCACGGATATATATATATATACACATCCAGAGTTCTCTCCCTTGTGTTACAGTCGGCTTTGCTTTGTCAGTTTCGCATTTGGTGATGATGCTGGTTAGCATCATATTATTGTATTCGTATTGGTAGGAAGTTCGCCAATGGCCAGCAGGATATGTACAATGCACCCTCTGCCATCTCACGATTGAATGAGCCCCGATCATAACCCTTTGGAGCATTTCTGGGACATGATTGGGATCCTCCTGTACAGAACTTGACCCAACTGGAAGCTGCATTACCGGAGGAATGGCGTAGACTGCCCATTCAAGGATCAGGAAGCTGACAGGGGGTATTAGGAAGAGAGTGCTGGCTGTCATACAGTCACATGGAGGTTACACTCGCCATTGACCTTGAATCGTAAGACACGCAAAATGCCATTTAGATTGTACACATCCACAAATGATTTCTACATGGTGGACATGGTTTTGCATGAAAATCAGGGTTTTCGTTAAAATGAGCAATTATCATCATAAAATCAACATGGATTTATGAGTCAAAGGATCATATGGGTCAGACATACTCATGTTTTTCCATCGCGGTGATAAGTGTTTTAAAACCGGACTCTTTGGCGTCAAGCGGCCTTTTTCCTGGAAATCACTCGTCAAGTTGAGGGACAGGTTGTGTAATGAACAAAATAAGACATTGTCTTCACCATAAATGTTTTATTTCAGGAACCAATATGCTTGTATTTGTAACAAGTAGCATAAATAGATACAAATACAGTTTCAACTATGACTAAGTACAATTAGTTTTATTTTTTCTTAAGGGAATTATTACTGTGTGACAATCGACTCGACCCAATTTAAGCTCGCAAAGTTTAGTCACCGCTAACTTTATTCACGGCAGTAATTGTTGATAACCACGCAACTATTCCCAATTTGGACCAAGACCTGACATGCCCGCTATTATGTGGGAAACCTTGACAGTGGAAGTTTGAGTGAGTGAGTGAGTGAGTGAGTTTGGTTTTACGCCGCTTTTAGCAATATTCCAGCAATATCACGGCGGGGTGGAAGTTTGAAGTATGGCGGAATACTGCCACTTTTGCGCTGCTAACGAATCTTCTTTAATGGGATTAGGCTCTAGATATTCTTCTTCAAACCATTCGCTTCTTACCTCAAAAACACCAAAGATGCTGTAGAGGTAGAAATCGCCCATGTCCGAAATGTTTGTTTACAAGCAAAAGGGTCAAGGAGTTCATTGTATTCATACGTGGTCAATCGGTCACTTTATTTAACGGTCCTTAAACTGCCATTTAAGTACGGTTTTGATGAGCTCTCAGCCAATTTGAATCGAGTATCACACAAAGTCACGTTAGAAAAAGATTTTAAAGCGTTTCCACATGTTTTGCCTTCCTTCTTAAGTAAACCAGACATGAACTATGTTCAGTTGAACATATTCAGGAATGTCAAAAGGAGTCCTAAGGTTAGTCCTCAACAAACCTCTTCCGCGACCTCTTTATAAAACCGGTTTCGGTGTGAAACCATAAAAATAACAAAAATACGCTGTTTGGTCAAATTTATGCAGGTAAGACGTGAGAAATAAATAAAATACCACACTCGGTCTCATTACATACGAATTATACGAAACGAGTGTCCTTTCTGTGGTAAGCGAAACTTTCGCTCGGTCAGATACCATAGGAAGAACTCTCGTTTCGTATAATTCGTATGCAATGAGACCGTGTAGTATTCTCTATGTATGTTGATATTGAACCAACGCTCAGCTCCACCAGTCATGTATATGCAGATTTGTAAAATGGTGTCACGTGGCCTCTTCTCGGGTGTAATCTCCTCACAAGTGAAGCTTTGGCCAATGTGATGAGTCAAAAGTGTTTGAAGCGCAACGCGATATGGGTGATCTCCCTTTAGTAACTTGTCGGATATTAACGTGAAACTACAGCCTTTTCTATAAGGGTACTTAGAGTTTTATGAGTAAAAGAAACACATCACTGACAAGCCCAACATGAAACATATCCGTCTATATTGCTTGAACGGAGCACACCGAGGTATATTCAATAATAATAATAATAATGAGAATATTTATAACACGCCTTTTCCTGGCTAGATATCCTGCTCAAAGCGCACAGTCTGACCATTATTAACCCAGATAACCCAAGCTGCCTGTTAGGCGCTAGAAGGTTAATAGTCTCACGACTTATTTCACCGGGTACCCATTTTCTGCTGGGTGAACAGAGGCAATGTTGAACAAACGCACTTGACTAAGGTGAAACCACATGTATCACATGTGCTTCATTGTGAGGCAGGACTGAAGTCCTAGAAACTCTCAGGAGTCGAGCCGTCAAACACGGTCACCCATCCAAGGACTCTCCGCGCCCAACGTTGCTAAACTTCAGCTGATTGTGACCTGAGCGCTATGCACAGGACCATGCGCCAGCTTTACATTGGAGAAGCAGACACACGCAACACATTGCAACCTGGAACACACACGCACAGTCGCACAAAAGCGCACGAACGCACACACGCACACAAACATGTGGGCGTGCGCACACACGCACGTACACATTTAGTTTGATGTTATGGTCTGAATTTATTTTCTGTTTGGTGTTGGCGTCAATTATTTTAAGCGATCATTAGAAAATGGAAACAAATTTAACGAAGCCTGATAGAAAACAGACCAGTCTCGAAATTTTCATCGCACTAGAACACATGCAATGTAATCATGTTCGAACCTTAGACATTCTCAACACCGCGGAACCTTGTGTATCTGACTTCAGAAGAATTATTCGAAAACTAAAAAATATCGTGTAATAATGCAGACAGTGCAACTATCAGTTATCCATAGCAAACAGAAACAAATTGAACCAATCTTGATAGAAAACAGACCTGTCCCCAAGGATGTTTTCGCGTTAATTTGCTACATTTGAATTGAGCCTGAGAGGTCCAATATCTATAAAACCGAACCTTTTTAAAGCGCAGAAGCGGGATACAGTGAGTGAGTGAGTGAGTGAGTGAGTGAGTTGGGTTTGACGCTGCTTTGAACATTATGTATCACAGTGTGTCCCGGTGTGTCACGGTATATTACGGTGTGTGACTGCGTGTGACGGTGTGTCACAGTGTATCACAGTGTGTCCCGGTGTGTCACGGTGTGTCAACTTGATGTGGGACAAAAGTCCTAACTGATGCAGACATTCACCACCTCGGTGGAACCCACAAGCAGTGATGTATTGTGCTGATTAACCTTGAAACACAATCGGGGAGACCGTGATTCGAACCCGAAATCCTAGGTTCCTGACGTGCACAAGGGACGCAACTCTGCTTACAGAATGGGGTCACTTAATGCACCTGGGCGATCTGTGCCGCCAGCAGATGTGGCCGTTATTTCAGTTCGAATATATTCGAACATAATAATTTCGTTCTACAAAAGTATCAGTTAAACGATGTTCAAAGCGTTGTTACGTAATTTGGAATGCACGTTCATAATCACGTACGATTTTGCTCGAACCTTAAACACTCTTTACTCCCAAAAACCTGGTTTTGGACGGATGATTCGAAAACGGAAAAATAGCATGTTTCGCGATTACTTCACAACTCTTATCAGGTGGAATGATAGTAATACTGTCCATCTGAGAAGTAAACAAACAGACATCTCTTTTCCTCTAATGTGAAGTGTATGAATATGAGTCAGAGAGACGATGCTTTGTCGAAGTGTATTAGTGAGAAGGAGAGACATTGCTATCCTTGGTCGTAGTGTAGGAAAGTGAGACAGAGAGACGATGCTATCTTTGGTCGTAGTGTAGGAAAGTGAGACAAAGAGACGATGCTATCCTTGGTCGTAGTGTAGGAAAGTGAGACAGGGAGACGATGCTATCCTTGGTCGTAGTGTAGGAAAGTGAGACAAAGAGACGATGCTATCCTTGGTCGTAGTGTAGGAAAGTGAGACAGATAGACGATGCTATCCTTGGTCGATATGTGTGAAAGTGAGACAAAGAGACGATGCTATCCTTGGTCGTAGTGTAGGAAAGTGAGACAGAGAGACGATGCTATCCTTGGTCAAAGTGTATGAGAGTAAGACAGGGAGACGATGCTATCCTTGGTCGAAGTGTAGGAAAGTGAGACAGAGAGACCATGCTATCCTTGGTCGATGTGTATGAGAGTGAGACAGGGAGACGATGCTATCCTTGGTCGAAGTGTAGGAGAGTGAGACAGAGAGACGATGCTATCCTTGGTCGATGTGCATGAGAGTGAGGCAGAGAGACGACGTTATCCTTGGTCGATGTGTATGAGAGTGAGACAGAGAGACGATGCTATCCTTGGTCGTAGTGTAGGAAAGTGAGACAGAGAGACGATGCTATTCTTGGTCGTAGTGTATGAAAGTGAGACAGGGAGACGATGCTATCCTTGGTCGTAGTGTAGGAAAGTGAGACAGAGAGACGATGCTATCCTTGGTCGAAGTGTATGAGAGTGAGGCAGAGAAACGATGCTATCCTTGGTCGTAGTGTAAGAAAGTGAGACAGAGACACGATGCTATCCTTGGTCGATGTGAATGAGAATTATAGAC